AAAACTTGGCCCTCCTCAAATGAAAAGTCTGGTTCCGCCCATTACTTACTTACTGGTTCTAGGTATAGGACCCTATACAAAATTTAATAAAATATTTGTAACTTATTTTTTAAAAGAATGTCGGCGTCTCTTTCTTTCCATCCCCTCTCTCTCCCCACATTGAAATATACCAATAAAGGGAAATTTTTAAAAGTTGTCAAAAGATGTGCTAAAATTAATTTTTACTATTTTCTTTAATCTCATGAAAGTAGTAAATAGAGTCCATAAAAATGACTCAAGGGAGTACTACGTGGATTTATTTGGAACACTTAACCTCACTTAAAAAGAATATGGGAAGTTTAGAAATGAAATATGCAAACTTGTATGCCGAACCTGATTTATCAAATGCTTCTATAAATTGATGATTTTCATAACACTGTATAATAATGAGATGAAAAGAAAAAGGAACAAAACACTTAATGAAGGCCAATTCAGGAAAATCATTAGCGTTAAATTTTTACGGTGTGGTAAAAAAAATATTTCCTTTAATATTATTTATAAGACCCTCCCTACTCATTTTTAGTACATGAGCATTTATAAAATTTAATGAAACATTTAGAGTCATTTTCAAAAATCCCTTGTCTGTCTTTTATTCTTAATTCAAATAATGACTTTAATTAATTGACTGGAGGTAATTTTGAAAAATGATAAAGATTTTTTTACATTTAATTTATTTTAACTAATTTTTTAATCTTATAAACATAATTCACAAGATTTTGTGAAAAGAATAAAAGAGAGTATTGTATTAAAGATCCAGCTCTCTTTAAATTGGAGCTGAATTTTTTCCTCTACAAAGAAGAGTAGAGAAGAAACCAGTGCAAATCTGAACCGTTAAATTAAATTTAAAAATTTAAATTTTATAACTTTTCAAAATATATATTTAATTTGAATTATTTAAATTTGCAGTGGAGAGAAAATGTAAAGGACACAAACCCACCTCCTATAACTTTGCTTCAATCATGACCAAAGAACTTACGAATTAACCATGGGGCAGTAGATTGATTGATTTTATTCCCAAAGGGCAAAACAATCAAGAGAGAGAAGATTTATATGTGACACGTGTTAAAATTGAAGCTTTATCGCCACTGATTCTGGGACCACATGCATGAAAGGAAACTACGGGGGAACAAAATCGTCGACCGTGATCTTTGGATTGATCTTGTCCAATGTGTTTTGGTTGTTTCTTGCAATTTAATGTAATTTATATTTTTTATTATTTTATTTAATTTGCATCTTAGCATTTAATTTGGAGAAACTACGGTAAAAAACCCCAAGAGTTAAGGATGTTCACGGATTTGGCTCGGTTTGGTTTTGTGTAAAAATTAGACCGAACTGAACTAATCAATTTACTCATGAATAAAACTTGATCGATTTTTATAAAAATTGGTTTGGTTTGATTTGATTAACGTATGGATCAAATTTTAATGAATTTATTTAACTTTTTTTTTCTTTTCTTGTATTTATAATTGTTAAATTTCTTTTAATTTAAATTGATTTATGCATTGCTGACTCTTTTATTATATAAAATTTTCTTGTTTATTTTATGCTTTATTTCAATCATGATATATTTATGGAAAGTCTTTGAACCTAAATTAATCACATATCTTATACATACATGTTCATTCTTTTTTTAAATTTTTATTTAATTTTTGCTTGGCCTCAAATGAATCAGAGATAAAAAAATATATTCATATTATATTAATCTGATTCATCTCTTCATTTCATTAGGCTTGAGTGTATTGTATCTTCATGATCTTATCAATTTCCTTGTGCCATCTATATATATATATATATATATATAATGCAAATTAATTTTATGATTGCAAGTAGCAGAAAATCAAAATAATGATGGTGGTCAACTAATCATCTTCATGATTATATTAGATGTACTATTTGAATTCTTATGGAGAAATTCATCACCTAATAGCAAGTATCAAACATTCAAATATCTCAAGGCTAAATATCCAAAATTTCAAATATCATGCTATTTAATATTAATATTTGTATTCTTAGTTCCTTACATTATACATATATATTCAAAACATAATATACATCTCTCAATGTCATAATAGATAGATATTATATAAATATATAATATTTTTTAATTAGGCTTGGTTCAAGTTCACTTCGGCTTCCAGATCTTGAAACTGAAACCAAACCAAACCAATCGATTTGTATGTCATAAAAACCAAAGCAGACTTGATCAATGATCAATTTTGGTCGGTCCTTTTGGTTTGGATTAGTTTTGAATACCCTTACCAAGAGTATCTATAATCTGCGATGGTTAGAAGTCAAAATTACACTTTAAGACCGTATATATGAGTTTCTGGCATGGCTAACAGATTAACACACCAACAATTTTTAACCTACAGTGCCAGGAGTATCTATTATGCATGTCTAATGTTCAATAAGGATTTACTTGTTTGAAGCATGAAAAGGCATTTTAAGTTAATTTGATAAACCTACTTAGGGAATTTAAGGATGCTAATTACTAGATTAGCCGTATGTGAATAATTCATGGGCAAATTTAATTTTCATCACAGAAGTACTAAAATGAAATGGTGGGGTGAGTCTTGGTTGAGATGAGTGTGAATGTGATGCAGGCAAAATGGAGGGAGGGGGAGGACCAGAGTTTTGGAGGAGTCCAAAATCCAAACTAGAAGACACAGAGAGGGATGAGAAGCGGCAACCATGTGGTATGGTTAGAAATGCAAAGTTGGCCCAGCCCAGCTCTTAAAGATTCAAGTATTAAAGTCTGATTTTTTAATTTATAACCTAATTTTAAGATTTAGTCTTTATTCAAAGGGCTTAAAGCGAGGCTTGTAAGCCCGTCTTTAAAAAAAAATGTAACATTATAATTTAAATATAATATTCTAAATAAAAATTCAACATAAAACAAATCAAGATCTCACATCAAACAAAAATTTAAAAGTCTAATTTTAAGGTGAAGATTAATAAATTTAAATCTTCCTCATCATCATCTAAAAATAAAATATTAGATCTATTAGATGTAGGTCTACTTGTTGAAGATGAAAATGAAGGTTCAATGTCAATTATCTTTGCAACTTCTTCTTTATCACCTACGATAAATATTAATCAGATTGTGTTATTATCATATATATATATATATATATTAGAAGACAAAATATAAAAATTATCATAAAATGATGCAAAACTATTTAACCAAAAGTACAAATTAATGCTTGCTCATTACTTGGAAAAAGGCAAGAATGATACTTTGTTAGAATACGGGAGCCTATGCTAAAAGCCACTTCACCAGCTATTGTAATGATCAGAATGCTTAAAATATTGCATGCTATCCTTGAAAAATTAGAAAATTGTTGTTAATTAGTCTTCCACCAATGCAACACATCTAATTTTCGAAACTAGTGACCATCAAGGAAAGCTTCTTTTGAAATAATAATCTAATTTAGATTTTTCAATGAAGAAACATCCCTACTCTTGAAATTAAGAAAATCCTACTTTTTTTAAATATTCCTAATCTAATTAATCATACAATGAATTTTCAGTATTTATGAAAAAAAAAAAAGTAATAGGACTTGAAGAGTTGCCTAGGCTCAGCCCTTTTTTTATCAGCTTTTATTAAGGTTGGGCCCTAAAACTTGATTACCCTAAAAATCACTCATTTCTCAAACATGGACCCTAATTTAACAGACTCTTTATGCCCGACCTTTATTTCAAATTCTGGATGTGTAACTTTAACCCTTTTTAGTTTAAGTTGAATGCTGATTGGGACCAACTCATGTGTTGCTGTGACACACAAAACGTCCTCAAATCAGAATAATTATTTTATAATTATCACATCCCCTAATTTCCTCCACATTTGCATCGCATCTTTTTCAAAATTAGAGAAAGTGAATAAAAAAATTAGCAGAAAATTGTAAATATGTCAAAACCGAGAGGGGATAAAAATAGAGGCAGATAAAAAGGCTACAACGAATTGAAAAACTCAGAGGGAATACAATTCAATATTCAATAAATAAAAGATTATAATAATTAAAGCAAGATATTCCTAATTTTCAATTTAATCTTCTTCTTCCTTTTTTTTGTGCCAAAGGAAACTACTATTAATATTAAAGGCAAAGACGCCAAACTAAACAGTACAGAGCATTTAAAGTGAAAAAGTCAAGAGAAGTAGCAAAAAGCAAAAACGAAAATGAAACACAGCAAAGAGCTAAATCAAAGAAAAGAAAAACGCAACAATAAAGATGCATAAGATTAGCCAACCCCAACTCAACCAGATGAAGCATCAAGTAGATCGTGGTTCATATCAGAACTCAAAGCATCTTTCGCCAGAATAGAAGACAAAGGAGGTGATGGTGTCCACCCATCCAACTGGACTCACTTCCTTAACAGTAGAAACAGCTAAAAAATCAATTGCACTATTACCTTTGCATGGTACAAAGGATATGGAAAACTTGGCTTTAGTTGCCATGAGAACTAGAATGTTTGCTATCTTACTTTTGCATCGCCATTCACCCATATCAGATTGGCCTTGATTGATACTAGTTACAAGCTTTTGACAATCACTTTCAAAGACCACTTTGTCATAGCTCAGGTCTCTTGCAAGCATTAGTGCTCTTTTTAAAGCAAGTGCCCTAGCCATAAAAGCTGATATAGACTTTACTTTATCAGAGAATCCCGGCCCATACGAAATACCCTGAATCATTTCTGCAAATCAAACCAATACCAGCCACGTTACCGTGCAGTGGGAAAGCTCCATCGCAATTTATTTTCTAAAAGCCAGCTAGCTGTAGGGGCGTCCAAGAATGTTTTCGCATAGCACCATTCTCTTTTGATTCATCATTGAGAACCAAGGAATTAGCACACCATATTAAGGTTCAGAGAAAAGAGAGAAAAGGATAAAAAGGAATTCTTGTATTCTTATATATTATGATAAGAAGTGATACAGAGTTCTTATATACAAAAGGTGAATAGAAGATAAAGTATATACACATGTCTAGCTAATAACCGTATAACCGCTTATAATGACAGCACACATGACACTAATCAGATGACATAATTATATTCTCTAACAGCCTCCCGTAAACTCAAGGTGGGTTGACATCAAACACTTTGAGTTTAGTCTTCAGTGTATGAAATCTTGCACTAGATAATGGCTTAGTAAAGATATCGGCAATTTGATCTGCAGAAGGAACACAGGTAACTTTGATTTTCTTTTGAAGTACTTTGTCATCAACAAAGAATAAATCTAGCTCTATATGTTTGGTTCGATGATGCAAGACAGGATTATGGGCTAATTGTACAGCACTGATATTATCACAGTAAACTAGAGGACTATGTTGAGCTGTTGGTACTTTCAGTTCTGTAAGTAAGCTTTGAAGCCAGGTAAGTTCAGCTGTGACGTTGGCAAGGCTTCTATACTCAGCTTCAGTACTAGATCTTGCCACAGTGGATTGCTTCTTTGCACACCAAGAAATCAAGTTGCCACTAAGAAAAATGCAAGAACCTGAGGTTGACCGACGATCATCAGAATCACTACCCCAGTCAGCATCACAGAATCCTTGAAGAGTTAAAGCTTTCTCACAACAAAAATATAGGCCATGTGATATTGTGCCTTTTAGATACCTTATAATTCGTTTGACTGCACGCCAATGAGACATAAGAGGACACTACATATACTGGCATACCTTATTGACACTGAAAGAAAGTTCTGGTCTTGTGATAGTGACATATTGGAGATACCCAACAATAGATCGATAAAGTTGTGGATTGAAAAATGGTTCTGGAAATGAAAATTTACTGAGTTTGGCAGAGGATACCATGGGTGTGGCCACTCCTTTTGAGTTCAACATCCCAACTTTAGCTAGAATATCTTTGATGTATTTTTGTTGTGAGGGAGATAAAACACCAGAACCATGAGATTTTACTTCAATGCCCAGAAAGTAATTGAGAGTACCCAGATCTTTTAGAGAAAATTCAGAATTCAACCAATGTTTCAGATTGGTAACATAATTAGCAGAATTTCCAATAATGAGTATGTCATCAACATATACCAAGACATATGTTAAATCTATAGCAGTGTGTCGAATAAAAAGACAGGGATCACAATGACTAGGAACAAATCCAAACTTATGTAAGGCATCAGCAAGATGATGAAACCAAGCCCGAGGAGCTTGTTTGAGACCATACAAACTTTTATGCAACTTGCAGACCAGTTGAGGATTAGTAGATTCAAAGCCAGGAGGTTGATGCATATAAACCTCTTCTTCTAAGGTGCCATTGAGGAAAGCATTGTTAACATCAACTTGAGAAATAGACCAAGATTGAGAAAGAGCAAGAGTAAGAACAGTCCGTATAGTGGTAGGTTTAATTATTGGAGAGAATGTTTCTGTATAGTCAAATCCATAGGTTTGGTGAAAACCTTTGGCAATAAGGCTGGCTTTGTATTTATTTAATGTACCATTTGGATTGTCCTTTCGCCTAAGTACCCATTTGCAACCTATCACAGGATGATGAGAAGGTGGTGGAACAAGAGATTAAGTTTTATTTTGAATAAGGGCATTATATTCATCAAGCATGGCTTGTTTCCATCGTGGGTCTTGTAAGGCGAGATAAGGATCAGTAAAAGAAGAAGAAGTGTGATAAACTTTAGGTTTGAAAATACCTCTCTTAGAACGAGTGACCATAGGATGAGTATTTTTGGGTGGTAAAGAAGGAGGAGGAGGAGAAGCAGCAGATAGAAGAACAAGATAAGGGAACAGGAGAAGACATTGAAGCAGGATTAAAACTGGGTGGAACAGACAGGGATGATGACAGTGGGACAGAATGAGACTGTAGTGAAGAACCAGAAGAAGTGAAAGACATCAGAGGGCCAGAAGAAGGAGAAGATAATTAAAGGCTAGAAGAAGTAGAAGGCATAAGAGGGATTAGACCAGATGGAGAGGAAGACAACAATGGTATAGAGGTAGAGGTGGATATAGTACGAAAGGGAAAGGAAGTTTCATTAAATTGGACATCTCTAAAGATATAGATACAGCCACTAGGAGATAGGCATTTATTGCCATGATGACTCATACTATAGCCTAAAAAGGTGCATTGCTCAGACCAAAAGGAACATTTATGAGAGTTATAAGGACGAAGAAGAGAGAGGCAAGCACAACCAAACACACGAAGAAAGGAAAAATTAGGAGACTGCTTAAAAAGTTTGGTATAAGGAATTGAATTAGCTATGGCAGAAGAGGGGAGAAAATTTGTAACATAGGTGGCAGTGAGGAAAGCATCTTCCCAATATTTAAGAGGTAAATTTGCTTGAGATAATAAAGCTAAACCATCGTACTATGTCTACCTCTGATGTGTATTGAAGCCATGATGCTGTCGGAGATAGTGGATTGAAGCCATGAGAACAAGAGTTGATCCTGGCGATACCACTGCAGATAAGCTGATGAAACAACTCTGGATAGAAGATCGGCATCGGATGCAAATTGCTGAGGAGAACGAGATGACTCAATAAAAGTCTGAAGATTATGGCCGCGAATTGCAGATTCGACTTGCTGCTGCCAAACAAGATAATTCTTCTCATTGAGTTTCACTGTGAGGTGGTGTGCAAAAGAAATAGCATCACCATTCTTAGACGCATCAACTATGGCAAGTTTACCATTAGAGGAGTTGGAGGATTCAGACGCCATGGTTAGTAAGAAAGCTCTGATACCATATTAAGGTTCAGAGAAAAGAGAGAAAAGGAATTCTTGTATTCTTGTATATTATGATAAGAAGTGCTACAGAGTTCTTATATACAAAAGGTGAACAGAAGATAAAGTATATACACGTGTCTAGCTAATAACCGTATAACCACTTATAATGAAAGCACACATGACACTAATCAGATGACATAATTATATTCTTTAACACACCAATATTCCATCGTATTAATCTTCACTCGTTCTATGACATTTCTAGGATTTGGCTCATTACTATTGAAGACTTTGTCATTTCTTCCTCTCCATATTTGCCATAACAGCTCATAAATGGATGAAATATCAAACTCAGTAATATTACTATTTGAAGAGAAAATATCCTCCCACCATTTGCTGAAATTTATTATGTTGGTGACATCTGTTTTCAAGGATAAGTTGCTTCCAAACCATACACATCGAATTCACTGTGAAACAGCCCCAACCCAATATTTACACTAAACCATATCATGTTAGAAAAGAATTTACTTACCATGATATAAAATGAACAACCTAACTATGATGGTAGAAAAAGAATTACCCTTACTTCTACTATGATATTTAGAGAAAATCTAATTTACTATGGTTGAAAACATTTTCACATAATATTCATAGCAATCATAGCAAAAAAGGCTGAAAGTATTTGATTTTATAGTAAATTTACAATCAATTAACTGTCTACGTCTTCTAAGATTGGAAAAGAGCAAACTCCTTTGTGTAGCCTATCATAGTAGAAAAGGAGTAAAGAATCATGTCATTAGGCTTCTTATAACTTAAGCCAATAATTTCGCAGCAAATCAAAATAAAATAAACATAGGGACCTATGATTAATTGATCCAAGTTTTTTTAAAAAAAATTAGTGAGGGTGTCTAGAAATCAAAATAATTCTAATAAAATGTGTAAGAATATTAGCTAAGTCGAGTCACCTATAACCACAAACTCTATTACGCGATTATTTTTTTTCCTTATAACTAATTAGTGACACAATTCAATGTATGCCATCGTTTTTCATACCATTTTCCTAGAACTAGGAATTCCAACTTGGACTGGTTTCCTAACTAATCAAAGAAACAACCATTACTTATGGTTGAGGAACATACTGAAGGTGGAATTAGGTGTCACCTGGCTATTTGTTGCTGTCAATAACTAGTTTCACCTTATGCCTACTAGGGCTCTAATACCTTTGGGTTTCTCATAATTATTAATCTTTTTATTATTCACTATTCCTTCTACTCAGGATTCCCTTCACTTCTTGATTTTATGATCTCGCTTTATTCTTATCACTCTAACTTTCTACGTTTTCACATGTCATGTATCTTACTAATTTATTTTTATCTTAGTCTATTCCTATTATGTAGCCGCGTTTCTATTAGACTCATTCTTATAAACTTTAACGTTTACACTAATTTTCTGTCTTAATTCCCTATAGCATCTTCCCTTTCTCTTAGAGTTTATCTTGCAACAATGATTCCCCAATAATTCTCACTACCTTCTTTCCTATTACTAATTATTTGCCCTTGGCCTTTGAACTTGTCTACCTATTATGGGAGGGTGAAACATGCTTCATGACATTTATTCTCCATTTTGCCATCTTTCTGATTGCCTCTATACTCATTTTAATGTTTCACTATACAACTCAACTCTTATACTCCTAGTCATAATAACTTGGAACTAGTAACTATAAACTAAATTTCTTGAGAAGGGAAGACCTAATGATAACACAATGAGAGCCTGTAAGATTAAATTAATCAATCTGACCCCCAAAGTTATACAATGTACTAATTTATTTTACATTTTGAAAGACCAATTGGTTTCTTTTTCTTGGTGGCTTCCACTTAGATGGCAGCCTAAACCTCGACTTCTCCAAAATAGATGGATTCACTTTCAATTTTTACTGAAGTAATCATTGTTTTCTCCCCATTCTCCCCTCCTAGGATGCAACCCACCTTAGGAGGTACAAAAGTATTACCCATATAACAAAAGAAAACAAACAATGTAAAGGAAGGGAAAATAACATTGAAGGACCATTGAGAAAAATTAATATCATTCAAGGATCAATCGACTTGAAAATTGCACTGCAATCACTTGATCATTGATTGATATTAATTTTTAAAATCAAAAATCCAAACTACCCCTCTAGTTTAAAATAAAAAAACTCTAAAGTAGGCCTATAAGAGCTTTTTCTAATGAAAAAAGCTCCCATAAAATAGGCCTACAAGAGCATTTTTTTAAAACACTCTCGTATATACAAGAGCTCAGCTTTTTGGTGCCATTTCAGATACTCTTGTTTCCAAACACCCTTAAAGAACAAACGAAATGCTCCAAAATGCTTTTTTTATTGTAGTGAATTGAATGCTTTAGCGCAATTTTTTTAGCCCAAAAGTTACCTCAGACACAGGAGACAAGCCCATCATAGGTACCAAGGCCTTTTCATTTTCATCCTCTCCATCCGAAAGTAATCAATGTTAGCATGTTTGATTTGATGGGCTAGAGGACTCACACAAGCCTAATTCGGCTCTTTTAGGGATTGGGCTTCTACTTAATGAATCACAATGGGCTGTTCCGTATAACTTTCAGGATCACTATGCCACATAAGATCATTGACTTTGTCCTCATCCCTCATCATACCTCCGTTCTTCAACCCTTCCTAATTATTGTTATTAATTTTTCCTTAACCGTTATCTGCATGAATCCCACTGATTTTGCTAGATCCGCTATTCTCGCCCTAATTCTTACCCTTTCCTTTATTGTGCTTCTTCGTCTCTCCTCCCTTCCTCTGCTGATCACCGTCGTCCTCAAGGTGGCCATTTTTTTATCATGTTAGCTTCAATCCATCTCGGCTTGCAAACCACCACCGCTCCTTCATTTGTTCGAACATGTGACACTCCCAGCCAACTGCCATACTCCTCTTCATCATCATAATCATCTATCATTTCATCAGTCATACAGGAATATCCTCCCATCGTGACCAATTCTGCCACATTTATAGCAGAAAATATGTAATCTTCCATGCCGAACATTAATCCATGCACACTGGCTTTCGCTTTGGTCTTAGGATCCAAAATCCATTAACCAAAAGTTTTTCCAGGTCCACCAACACTCTAGTCCGGATGAAAGTCCTGGATAGTTTCCCATCCATCACGGGATTTTCGAATATGACCAACTCACCCACTCCGCTTCCTAGTACCATAGCATTCTCACGATCAAATGCACCATGTGGGAGTCCATGGAACTTCAACCCAAAAAAGAACACGGGTGAAATCCACATCCTCATAAATCAAATAATTGTCCCAGTATTATAGATTAAGTAAGAACCCCTGTATTGACTACGGTCTGCCTTTAGCCAATCTACTGTAGTCCTCCACCTTGTAGAAACGGAAGGTAAATGCGTTCTTATCCACATCGTGAAATTCGACTTCTTTATCAACCCCTAACCCTTTTTGATCATGGACACCACAACTCCTTTATTCAGATTTTTGTCTGTTTCCAACCTTCCAACTAACGATCTTTCTTCTTTCTATCCCAATTGAGAGGCACTTCTCTAGAGCTTCTTTTTCCTTGCCACTGCCCTGTCCCACTTCCATCCTCCGAAACACCTGTAACTCATGCACACCCACAAAGGGAATAATCTTTTAAAATCTTCCACTATTCTTTTTCCTCATTTTCTTTTCTATTTCTTTTCCTTAAGTTATTATCACCATTTTGTTTTTGATTTCCTAATATAAAAAATTATTATCTATAAACTTACTATTTCATAAAAGAAATTCTTGTATGAACTCAATGCATCTTGTTATTCGCATTTTGTCTAGTAAAAATATAGGGAAAATAGAATTCAAGAACCACTACATAAAATTTATATCCCACAAAGACCAAATGATTTAATAATAGCACTGTAGTCTTCTGACCTTTCTAACATGTTAATTTCATAAGCAAAAAGACTAAAATGCTTCTCATAATTAAAAAACAAAACAAAAGAAACCTCTACCGTCGCCGGCGCTAGCCGTCAAACCACCATCGATAGCAAGGTTGTTGGAGCCTTGCTGCTGATGAGGTCGCCCAGCACCAGCAACATTTTATTTGAGAACTAAGTTTTTAGGTGGTGAATGGTAGGTTTGATCCCATGATCTTTGGCCACCTAAAAAGCTTGATGGCCAAGCCCTTTAATATATATATAGTAAAAAAATTATAAGTAGTAAACCAAGCACAAAATTGCTTCCATGCAATAACCTAATATATGTTGTTAATTTCTGAAACGGAATTTGTTATTTTACGATTGTCACTTGTTAATCTGACATGGACAATTATAAATTAAAGGTTTCAAAACTTTACTCATTTTACTTATTAAACGTCCTAATATGTTATTGTCAATCACGAATAGGTGATTGTCAAAATCAAACGAATACTTGTTAGTAAATGACTAACATGTATAATTAAACCTTTCCTATCATTTTTTTCCAACTTGTTAAAACCCTAATAGATTCTTGTTAATTTTAAATAAATTATTATTATTTTATAAATGTCACTTTGTTAATCTAACATGGACAATTACAAATTAGGGGCTTCAAAACTTCACTCATTTTACTTGTTAAACATTCCAATGTATTGTTATCAATCATGAATAAGTTGTTGTTAAAAGTAAATGGGAACTTGTTAGAAAAATTGATAGGAAGGGTCAGTACATGTTAGTCATTCACTAATAAGTAAAAGTTTCTAACAAATATTTATTTGATTTTGACAACAATCTATTCGTAATTGATAACAACACATTGAGACGTTTATTAAGTAAAATGAGTGAAGTTTTAAAGCCCCCAATTTATAATTGTTCATGTTAGATTAACAAGTAACATTTGTAAAATAACAACAATTCATTTAAAATTAATAAAAATCTATTAAGGTCTTAACAAGTTAGAAAAAAATAATAGAAAGGGTTTTGCTGTACGTATTAGTCATTCATTGACAAGTATCCATTTCATCTTGACAACCATCTATTCGTGATTGACAACAATGTATTTGGATGTTTAACAAGTAAAATAAGTAAAAATTTAAAACCCCCAATTTGTAATTGTCTATGTTAGATTAATAAGTGACATTTATAAAATAATAAATTTTGTTCAAAAATTAACCACACATATTAAGTTATTACATGAAAGTAATTTTGTGCTTGATTTATCACTTATAATGTTTTTGTCATATATATATATATATATATTAAAGAGCTTGATGGCCACCTCATTGGATCAAATCCATCCTTGACCACCCAAAAACTCATTTCTCAAATAAAATGTTGTTGGTGCCAAAGCTCCAACAACTGACCGTCGGCAACCCTGTCGATAGCAAGGCTCCGGCAACCTCACCTCTGACGGCCGGTAACGGTGGAGGTTTCTTTTTTTTTTTTAACTATGAAAGGAATTTTAATCTTTTTACCTATGGAATTAATATGTCAAAAGGAGTAGAGTACTGCAGTGCTATTATCAAATCATTTGGTCCTTGTGATATGTAAATTTTACACAGTGATCCTTGGATGCTATTTTCCTAAAAATATATGCTATATTGTATTTCAATCAAATAAAATATGATATGTCATTATTTTTAATAATTAACTTTATTTTTGGAATAGAATTCCTCTTCATTTTCTCATCTTTTCTCTCTCCCATCTTCCATATAACGTTCACTTTCTCAAAGAAAGTTTTTATTTATTAATGATGATAACATGACTAGAATCATGCTGTCTTCACTTAGAGATGGAGGGCACCGGCCTCCTACAACTTATTCCATACATGACTGGAAGTACGATAAAAGGCGATACAGAACCTCCAATGCAGATTTCGTCAAGGCAACCAACGGCGCACGTACGATAGTAAAGGCTTCAGGGTTAGTGCATACAATCTGATTGCTGTACCCAGATATATAATCATAGTGCCTACTCCATAACATCACCACCAAACTTGGGAGATGTTTCTACTTGAGGAAGAATCTCATTGTTGAGCTTATCGATTAGGACACAACCACCAGCAGTACCATTTACTTTCGGAGACGCCGGGAGGCCAACATAGAACTTGGTGGCAGTGAAGGTGTTGGTCCATTGGTTCCATGAATCTATAAGTTTCTGAGTGTCCCCATCATCCGTGCACTCGCACTGAAGGTTGTTGTAGAACTGGACCAAGATGTAGTCAAATACCCGAGTTTCAATGGCCGTGTTTAAGGAGTAATCTGGGAAATGGCATTGTGGTGCGGCTGACAAGTAAAACTTCTTTATTTGGCTATAAGCGTGAAGCTCTTCCGCAAGATCATCCCAATACAAGTTTCTGCTGGCTTGTTCGATGTCAAAATCGATGCCATCTAAAGCGAGGAGACCAAGTAGACCTGAACTTTGGCCACTGAGGTAGTAGGTCCAAAGGTGGTCTGCAAACTCCTTGGCGTCTTCAGATGAAGAAAGGCTATATTGCCCAGAGGCTCCTCCGAGAGAAAGGAAGATTTTGATGCCAAGGCTTTGGCATGTGGCTATTTGGGAGGCATATTTAGTACAAGGAACGCCCCAGGATGCAGAACAATGTCCTGAGAGGTTGATGACTGGAGTCTGTCCATTGCCGAAGACATTGAGGAATGCTATGTTGATAATTGTAACATCTCTATTTAAATTTTAATAGTTAATTTTGGTTAATAGAAATTTAAAAAAAAAATATTTAGAAGTAAGCAAATTAGTAGAAAATAATTATTAAATCTAACTTAGGATATAATTTTAAATTAATTTTTTTAAAAAAATTATTAATTAATTAATTAAAAATATTATTAAATTATTATTATTATAAAAAAAAAGAAAAGAAAAGGTGTAAAAAAAAAGGGAAGAAGAAGAAGAAGAACGCTTTCAGTGCCGCGTGCTGCAATCATTATGTATATATAATAATAATAATAAAAAAGGGAGAGAGAGAAAAGAAGAAATAAAAAAAATATGTGGGACCCACTGAATTTTTATAAAACTCACCCGTTTCCTTTTATTTCTTCAATTCTTTTCCTGCGCGCGAGCTGAGGCGGAGAGAAGCGAGTCACCGGTGCGAAATATCTAAATTTTTAAGGTAAGAGTTTTTAATAGGATATTTAGGGTGTGATTTTAAGCTTTTCAAGATTAAGTAAGTGTTCTAAAAATTTTTCTTAGTCATCCTTCTTCTTTGGTTTCTGAGTTTGTAATGGTAGAAAATTTAAGATCTGGAAGAGGGATGAATTTATGTTGAATAAATATGATTTTTGAGGTTGTCAGTAGTATAATAAATGTTCTAGAGTATAAATTTATTGATGATCTTTGAATTTGTGGCTTATGGATTAAATTCTAAACTAGATCTGAAAATATATGTTGATTTATTGAGGCTTAGATGATTATTTGGGATGAGAAATAAATTATTATGGTTATAGGATTATGATTCTAAGCTAGAGACTCAATTTTTAATTTTTGGGTATTTTAGGTACGAATTTATGAAATAAAAGAAAATTTTGATAATAGAAATTAGTTTAGAAGTTGATTTTTAGATTATTAATGTTTATTGATAATTAAAAGAGGAGTTAAAAATTTTACTTAATAGTATTAACTATAGATTTGTATTAAGATTGAGATTAGGAATTATGTTATATTTTTAATTCTATTATTAGAATTATTTTATTAGTTTCAAAAATTGAAACTAATATTTATAAATAATATGTTATTTGTAGATTGTATTACTGGTGAAGATTGTGGTGAGAGAGAAATTTTAAGGAATAATTTATTGAAAAAGCCACAAGGTAACCATGCTTTTAATTTGTGATTAGTGTTACTTCATGTTAATTGGGTGATTATTGAGAAAATTATGAATTTTGTAATATTGTATAATTGTACAATATTATTATGAATTTATTTAATTATTGTGGGAGGTGTTGGGAGACTTGCTATTATTCTTGTATTTATGTGCCACGTGGTACGCCCCTATTGGAGCTCAATAGGTGGTTTGTAAGGGCTCGAGCTAATCTACCTTTGGCCGGGTAATTTAGCACCGAGTGAGGGCTACGGCTCGAGGTAAATGGAGGGATATAAGGATGATTGTTTGTGTGTATTGTAATATTTCTTATATTTGTTGGAATTATATTATTTTTAATTATCACTTAGTAAGCACACACTTAACTGTTTGTATACACTATTATAAATTGGCTTTGGTTACTAGGACTTTTGAGTCTCATTATGTGGTTAACAATTTTCAGGAGAAGAGCCACGAGTGACACGTGGAGGAGTCCCGGAGGCTTAATGGTATAAATCCACTGTCTCTTTTGGGTATTTAATTTATGATTTATAATGTGTTATATTGCCAATATTAGGGCTTTTTGTTTATTGTCAATTATATGAATATATAAATGTAATCATGCCTTTCAAACTATTTTTATTTTTGGTACAATTTGGATGACTATAATTTTAATATTTGGTTTACTTTGAATTGATTAAATTGGCATGATTATAAGGCCAAATAACTGGCTTGTGTTGAAAATTGACTAAATTACTTATTTTACTTATTGGGAGTATAAGGATGGACAAATGTGATTTAGTTACTTGTTGGAAGTATAAGGATGGACAAATGTGATTTAGCCTAATATCATGTGGGAGGTAAAAAGTTATCTGAAATGTTATAGTGTGTGAGTTGAAGCTAATTATAAAATATTTTATATTGAAATTATTGATATAAAAATGTGTTGGGTGGCTGTAACCCAACTATGGTTGAGTTAAATTATTTTTTAAAAAAAAAATTTGGTGTGTTACAATAATCTCGTACTTGCCACCCTCTATTTTGAAGTTCTCTGCTCACACTTTACTCCTGTTGCTGAAATTAATAATTAATGATCGGAATAAAAATATAGGCCTGACTTAATTTCAATTAAATGTCAAGATACTTTTTGTTGCGTACATGAGGCAATTCTTTTTGCAAAATGGTCAAGCACTAAATGTGACTTCTCTTTTAGAAGGGGTTTGAAAATAGATCATCATGTTGTAAGAGACTAGCTTTTTTCACTAAATTTAATCCCCGTTGTTGTGATTTCAAGTTGTTGACATATTTTCTTTGGTCTTTATTATAAGACACTTTTTAGAATAATTCTTTGGTCTTTAATAAAAGACATGTGGAATATTATTTATTATCATTTTCCAATTTTACTCCTATTTTAGTTTTAATTTTATGACTCATCATATATTATGTATTTCTCTCTTCCTATTTTTAATAGGGATAAAGTTAAAAAAAAGTTTTCATTTTAAGTCATGTTTAATAAGTTAATTGTCATTCCTTTGTTGATCTAATAAAATAGTTGAAAGTGCTTTGTGGCAGGAGTTTATATATACAATACACCAACACACATCATTTATGACAATGTTGCAAATTTTTATGAATTACTTCCTTCAGATCAAAATATAAGATATCAATAACTAATTCTTAAAAATATTAGTTGAAATCTTAATTTCTTAAAAAAAAATTATATCTTTTCAATTTTACTCTTATTAAATACCCTATATAAGTGCTTTAATAATGATAATTAAAATTTTAATGAATATTTTTTCAAAAAGAATAATAAAAAAAATAAGGACATAGCTGAAAAATTAATTATAAGAATTACTCACTATTTTATATTTTAAACTAAGTAAGACGTTTAAAATATACTCTATATCATGATGAGGACAGTGTAGTTGTTTAGTGATTTGTGTTGTTTGATCTGATGGTATTAAATATGAGCCAGATAGCGATACCTTTCTTTCTTTCTTTTTTCTTTTTTTTTTTCTGTTACTGTTTTCCATACTTGTTAATGGTTATGAATTTTTAATGAGTGTTATTTAATCCAAAGTTGTAAACTTGCAATTCTGTCTGTTTTTTTAATAACAAACTTTTTATTATCTGTATTTTAAACAAAAAGGGGATAACAGAACTTTTAATATATCAAATTTACCTCAGTTATTGATTTAATCCCTTAAATTTCTTTTTTATTGATTTGGTCTCATACATTTTTTTTAAATTATTATGTTCATCCTTTAAGTTTTAAAACAAAAATCAATTCTCAAACTAATTTAATGTGTAAAATATGTTAATGACTTGATATGTATATATAACTAAATGAGAATAAATTAGCTAGCCATTAAATCAATTTAATTTTGATCAATATAGTCTGTTTTTCTGCATTTTACTCTTTGGTTTTTTTTTTAAAATTTTTGAGCATGTTTTTTGTCTATCTAAATAATTACACTTTTTTTCATTAATTTATATGGCTACTATTAATATTTCACTTTCCGTGTCAACAGATTTTAACAATAATACATTCTTTTTAAATAATAAAGACTAAATTGATAATTAAAGTAAACTTAAGAGATCAATTTAATAAAAATTAAACTTAGGTTGTAGGACCAAGTCCATAATTGAAAAAAAACTTGAGGGACTAAAAATTTTATTATTTTTAAATAAAAACGAGGAAACGATAAGATTGGCCGGCAGATGATGTGGGGGATTATAGGGTGTGTATAATATACATAGCACGTTTAAATTCATAAATAAGTAAGAAAAGTGTTGGTAGTAGACAATTAATTATACGTAGGTGATTGCTGTTATGGAATATTAAAAATTCTCTTCTTCATCAGGTTGAAGTATTAAATTAAATTATTTATTTTTATTGATCATACGATTATTTTTTTCACCTTTTAAAAAATATGTCGTGTGTGTGCGCGTTTAAAAATATAAGCATTCAGATTCTGATCGTGGTCCTGCGAAGCAAACATGTTACGGCGGAGGACCACCGCGAGCGCAAGAGAAGCATCGTCCTTTATCATTTCGTTAAATTAAATTGTTGTTATATCATTTATTCATAGGATACCATTTGGCTGTGCATTCTCGAAGGCCCTTAACAACTAGATTCTTTCTTATCCTATTCATTTTATAGACTTGTATACTTATTTAGTATATATGATATATATATATATATATATACACGCACATGCATATTACAATATAAATACTTATGGTAATATTTATAAAAGAGTTAAGGTACAAAATTGCCCTAAATGTTTCCAACCCGGCGCACCCCATATGGCCATGTCCTTAAGTATTTTTTGATATAATATTACCACTAATATTTTTTATTTTGGTACAATGTCGCTCCACCGTTACCCTTTAACTACTTTCACTGTTAACTTTGAAAAGTCACCCCACCGTTACCCTTGCCGGACTGCGACTTTGATGTCCACGCACGAGAATTTTTTTCATTATTATTGCCATGTCACCTCTCCTGCTCTTCTTCATCTTTCTTCCTCAATTTTCTTCCGCCAAATCTATACACAAAAAACCCATATTTAGACCCAGATCTCAAACCCAAATTCATAATTCCTCCTCAGTCTTCTTCTCCCCCACATGTTCTCCTCTGTCTTTCTGATAAACCCAAAACCATATCCAGATAAAATCATCGAGCAATATTCAAGTTCTAAGTCATAATGAATTGCATTATTGGGGTTGCATCAACAAGATGTTAATGTTCGAAAACTTAACCAGAGAAAGAATATTGGATAGAGGCATAGTACAATCACCCAGAAATCGCATTTCATAGACAATCAGACTTAACTAGAGTAAGGTCGAAGTAAGAATGAAGAAGATCTGAATGCCGCACAAACCTAAGCGAGAAGTCAAGAACCACAGATTTAAAAGTAGAACAAAATCAAAAATGAATAATGAGAATTTCTTCCATCTGCAACTATGCACGAAGCCAGAAATCAAAATAAAAAATGAATTAATTTACACGGCCCTGCAAAATGAACTTTCAAGACAAAAATACTTTAAAAAAAATTTATGATGTCAAGCGCTCTTGGAGAAAAAAATTTCAGGATGTTTTTGCCATTTAAACCTTAATAATATTGAATCAATTGAAACAATGCTGATGTATCATGATTCACCGTGATTGAATTAATATATTTTAATGATATGCTAACTATTTTAAATAGAGAATTGAAAAAATAATAAAATTGTGGAAAAAATTATTGCAAAAAAAAGAGTAAAATTAATTAAAGGTATTAAACGGTCAGATATAAAAAATTCTATTTTTATGAATCTGTGTAAAGCCATTATCATTGATTTTATATGGTTGAAAGTAGCATTGTTGTTTTTTGTAGTAAAATGTTATTATTAATTAGATAAAATATCAAAATATAACATAAAAACTATCACATTAGCAATAAAAAAATACCATATTTATTCTCTAACTTTACACAGTACAGCATGTTTAATTAAGTGTTTTGCAAAGTTTATCATCAATTGTATTTGTAATTTGTATATCGTCAGACGTCCCTAGCATTCAGAAAGCGACTGTGATTTATTTGGCTAAAGGAAAGCAAACAATTGCAATTTGACTTAAAAATACATTTCTTTTTTAAAATATAAATTAAAAAAAACCCAACCACAGGACAAGTAAAAAGCATAAAATAACATAGTATGGGAAATTGGAATATTAAGATTTTTTTATAAAAAAAAAAAAAACTAGTTCTATCCCGTTCACTTTCTTCCTAATTCTGAAGGTTCATTAGACTGGATCATAAGTCGGTCAGATCAATTGAACCGGCCAGTGGGTTCAAGTTCTAACAACCTTTTCATAAAGGAGATTCTTTGTGGACTTGAATGTGATAGGTTATTCAAGTTTTTTTTTTATAATCTTTTTATGAGGTAACTATTTCTTTCTCTTTATTATTGATTTTATTTATTTATGTTTGTATTGAGGAACAGGAAAGATACAATACAATATTACAAAGATTGCTTGTCGTTGGAGATTCCCACAGCTCCCGGAGCGCAAAATGTTCCCAGCCCAAGGCTTTGATTCTGTTAAGCAGATTGTTTACACTTTACGACATAAAATAGTTGCATTGAGTTCACTACTACAGAATATATCTTTAGGAGCGGGTATTTAGGAGCGCTTCTTTAAAAAGCGCTCTAAAATGTAAATACGGAATTTACCGGAGCGCTTTTTTAGAAAAGCGCTCCTGTATGTCAGGGCTTTTCAATAAGATAATGCTCCTAATTAATAAAAATAGAATATTATAAAAAATTTAAAAAGACCTTCGGGAGCGCTCGTAGTTAAGTGCTCCGGAAGACTATCTTCCGGAGCGCTTTTTGAAGAGCGCTCCGGAAGATCAACTCTTTCGGAGTGCTCTTGGAATGAGCGCTCCGAAAGAGCTCATCTTTCGGAGCGCTCTTTTAATGAGCGCTCCGAAAGAGTTGTTCTTCCGAAGCGCTCGTCAAAGAGCACTCCGAAAGAGAGATCTTCCGGAGCGCTCTTTGAAGAGCGCTCCGGAAGAGGTGGTCTTTTATATCTCTGCCTCCCGTCAGTTTTCTTTTCCCTATTTATGAGTTTCTTTCAAACCTCTCTTTCATTTGCTGAGGTTGTGCGTTCCCAACGAGTTCTAGATCATCGCTGTATCAGTCTATCTTCTGTCGCTGTTCACTGTTCCAGATCGTCGTCCGCCGCTGTTCGCTGTTCCAGATCGTCGTTCGCCACTGTTCGCTGTTCCAAATCATCGTCTGCTGCTGTTCATTGTTGCAGATTAGTGTTCATCGCTGTTCATTTCTGTGTCATGTCGCGCCATCTGTCTCTGTTTTTGCGCTGCCGTCGCCGTCACCGCCATCTCCTGCATCACTATTCTAGATCTACATTGCTGTTTCAGATTTGTGCGGCTGCTGTACACCGGAGGAAGCGACACCGCGAAGACCTCCGTTGTAGCCGTGTGTCATTGCTGTACAGCTGAGGAAGCAACGCTGCAAAGACCTCCGCTACTGCCGTGAAGACTTCCGTTTTCTGCCGTGAAGACTACACTGTGAAGGTATTTTTTTAATAATTAATTTATAATGTAATATATTGATATATTTATATATATTTGAGAATAAATTTCATATATATTTTTTTAATAATCAATATTATAGATAATATATGAATTGGAGTTATTTATATTAGAATTATGGAGTATTTGTTGTTAATAATTAGATTAAAGTTGAGGAAACTACTTGAACATTTTTATTTTATTTATGAAATATACTTTTAAGGGAGATTATTGTTATTAATTAAATTACAATTGATTGACAGAATTTAGATGCATTATGCTACTAAATTTTTATTTGGATGAATTAATTTTTTGAGTTTAAATGTATTGTGTTGTGGAATTTGATTGTTTGATCATTTGGGAGGTTCTTCTTTTAAGGAAGATGTTGTTGAATTTTTTTTATAGAAATCTAAGTCTTTTGTTTATTGAATTTTGATAATCATATTAGTGATATGGATCATAAGTGGATGTCGGCTAATCAACTATCTAGAGAATATTGGGATGGTGTGGATGAATTCATTGAATTTGCATTTTGTTGTGATCAAGACCCCCTTGGAGTCATATGTCCTTGTTTGAAATGTTGCTATGGAAAAAGAGTAAAGCCAATAGAATTGAAAGATCATTTAATCTGTAATGGGATTGATCCAACTTATACTTGTTGGACCATGCATGGGAAGACAAGGAATGATGCAAATGATTAGAGGGATAGTGCGAGCTACTCAACATTTGATCGTGATAGTGGGACATATGATGTTGACCGTCTTGATGAAATGATTCATATATATAACTTCATCGCTGAAGTATTTTAAATTAAGTTAGAATTTATTTCCACCATATTTTGATAATGACATCTTTTATTGTTTTATAGGTACCTACACAATTACAAGGTTGGGAGTGTGGATACTATGTTATGAAGTTTATGAGAGAAGTAATCACACAATAAGAGTTGATCATTCCTGAAAATGTAAGTCAAAAACTTTAAAATTAAGTTGATATAATGTTAATTCCTTATATATTGCTTTCATATCTTGTGTAGTATTTTGTTGGAGTAAGATGTTCGTATTTTACTATGGAGCAAATAGAAGATTTAGTTGAAGAGTTGTCAGAATATATTATTGACTGTTTGTGATAGGAAGTTAGATCTCAATGTTAGAAAAATAACAATAGTTTCATTTGTTAGGCTTGTTAGAAATTAAACTAGGTTAGTTAGGAAACTGAAATTTTTGTATCAGTTTCAAATTCTTTTCTTGTATATAAATTTTTATGTTAATATTATTTTTAAATTAGTTTTTGATATTATGATTTGTCATTATTAAAGAGACGTAAAAGGAGAAATTTCAAAAAATCTGATTTAAAAAAAATTAAAGTAATATACGGGAGCGCTCATTTGAAAAGCGCTCCTGTAAAGTAACATACAGGAGCGCTCTTCCATAGAGCGATCCTATATGGTTCATACGGGAGCGCTCTTTATAAAAGCGCTCCGGAATGGTTGCATACGGGAGCGCTCTTGTAAAGAGCGCTCCCGTATGTAGATCCCTTACAGGAGCGCTTTTCGAAAAGCGCTCCCGTATAGCGTATATACAGGAGCGCTTTTTTTAAGCGCTCCTATTCATTTCAGAGCGCTCGATACGAGAGCGCTTCAAAAGCGCTCCCTAAAGTAAAAAAAAAGCGCTCCTGTAAACTTATTTTGTAGTAGTGGTTTAGACTTTAGATTATAAGTGATTTGAATTGTATGTGTATGTATAGTAATGGATAATTAGCTAAGTTTGTTCAAAACGTAATTTTGATTATAAAAGCAATTTTATCTCAAAAGTTTCAAAGTCACTTTAAGTATTGTGATACTTTGAATAATTATCTCTAAGATAGTCCATATTACATTAATCGCTAAGTAGATTTATCAAAATTTTGATAATATTCATAAATTTTTATTTTAAAAAATAAAAATTAAAAACTTTAAATATGGATAGTCTTAATATATAAACTTTATTATTTTTTTAAAACAAAAGTATAAACTTCTAAAAACACCCTTCATTTAATATATTGAATAACTGAAAAGAGAGGGTGATGAAAATTAAATAAAGAGAGACATTACTACAAAATAAGCTTATAAGAATGCTTTTTTTAGCCTTAGAAAGCGTTTTAAAAGTGCTCTGATATCGAGCACTCTAGAATATACAAGAGCGCTTTTATAAAGTGCTCCTATATGTATGAAATACAAGAACACTTTTCGAAAAGCACTCCCGTGCATTTAAAGAATAAAATAGCCTTGCGGGAGAACATATGAGATCGCTCACCAATAGAGCGCTCCTGTATGTTGTCATACCAAAGTGCTTATTGAAAAAGCATTCTTATAGGACAACATACGAGAGCACTCTTCCTTTGAGCGCTCCTGTAAATAGACATACAAGAGCACTCTTCAACTAAGTGCTCCTGTATGTCTATATATGAGAACGCTCTATTAGTGAGTGCTCTTGTATGCCTATTCTACAGGAGAGCTCATACTATGAGTGGTCCCGTAGGCTGT